CAGCAAGAACCATCTGTGAAAGTGAAAGGTACAAAAGGCTTGGGGTAGTCGGTGTAGAGCTTAGGCCCAAAGCTACGGATCAACTTTGTTCCACACTCGTCAAGTTCCCTTTCTTTCTTCTCAAGGTACCCGACAGTCGTGATCCAGACTAAGTCAAAATGTTCACGAGTCTCTTTGCCTTTCTTCACATAGGGCCTCAGGTCATGGATGGTGCCGCTTGCGAATTGGGTGAGGACAACAAGATGGACAGGTCTCTCTGTCTGAAATCAGCTGCCCTGATGTGCCGATACTGGACCGCATCCTTGAGGGCCATCTCGTTGAGGGTGGCCAAGACTGTCTCTTGAACTGGGAATGTTTGAACTGTACTCATGCGTTGAAGTGGATGCAGACACTAGTCTTAATGTGTTTTGACGAGGACAACTTGATTGTCATTGATCTTTGGAACAACTAGAAATGGTTGAATGCTAACTGACTGACTGAATTCTTCAGGTAACTTGAACTACTGGATGTCGCTGAGAGTAACTGGTCACTGAGTGCGGATCACTTGAGTGTATAAAACGCTCGAGGGTTGAGATTCGTTGAGTAACATTTGTTGATCGAGATGCTGGTGGGATTTTCAGGACGCGAGTTCGAACAACTTTGCGGTCACCTGAGCTCTGCCCGGGCTCTTTCCACTGTCTCTAACAGCAAGCCGATGTTGTGCATCCTGCCATTATAAGCATAAAAATAAAGTACGTACTCTTTTCCTCTCTCACCATCCGGGCCGCATGTCCTCTCTGGCTTGCCTATGAAAATCCAAGTCCCGGCATGCCTCTTCTTCCCATCCCTCTTTCTTATCTCTATTTGATATGCACTTCACCACCAGGACCTCATCATCCCTCATGTTTTCCCTAGGCAGGCTCCTAACGAGTTTGTCTAAGGGGAGGAAAACAAGCCCCGTTTGCTTTATGTACAAAAATTGGTGGCCAGTAGTTTTCACTCTTTTGTGGTGCATGAGGAAGCAGACCCTTTTCAAATTATCAGTCGAAATCCACCCTTGAGATGGGATGGCATTGATGGTAATACCTATTAAGTGACTTTGACCCGTCAAGATGACTGGGTAACCAACTGAATAGCAATAGCTGACAGAGGGTGACTGATAGTAACCTAAAAAACCCGAGATTGTCGACTCAACACCAGTCACTGTTCGCAAAAATGACAGGTGGCAGTACGAGTCGCTCGGGGATTATGACGATATACATTTCGGTAAAGTCTTCTAAAGAAAGATTAAGTTCTTGCATATATTCTTCTGGGTCTAGCTCGGCCTGCACGGCTGTCTCAAGTGATGAGTTGGTGTTGTGCGGCTTGCCACTATGATCACGGAAGTAGACGTACTATGTATACTTCTCCTCCACGACCCACTAGATTGCACACATCCTCAAGATCAGTTTACCATACTCCATAAGTTGATCGGCTCGGTTCCCACCCATCGTGTCCACTTTTGCCATTGTCACACTTTGTTACCCCAATCCTTCCTTTTCTCACTATTTCCTCTCCCGCTCAAGGCTCAAGTTGCGGGTAAAAGGAAAAGGCCTCTAAAGACCTAGTAACCGTTTTCCAGGGAAGGAGGACAATGCTCGCACTCAGAATCGCTGGATACTTTGTTTATGGCGCTTTGCGATGGACTCTGAGTGTCTCCTCCCTTAGGATTGCTCTGCTTGACCGAGGCTGTTTCTGAGGTTCAGGTGCATGTACCCATCATGAATGGGCTGTTGTCCAGGCCTAAACTGATAGTTGACCACCGAAGTAAGACCAGTTCATTTACCAATCTTAATGAGACCGCTCACCATCAACCGACCACGAGCTGAGCTTTGCATAGGATGTCAAACAGGGGTTGCCACTACTGGTATACTACACAGAGTAACACCAAGCTACCCCTCTGTTGACATGTAGCGGTAGTACCAGAACACTCGTGACCAAGGCTGGGGTTTGAGTCCGTTCTGAGTGGACAGGCTTGACGTACCTAATAAATAATCAGCGCTATGTAATTGTCCAACTAAATAATCAGGCATCGGGGAAAGAAAGAATTCAAAGAATTAATTTCGTTCAATTTTGCCAAGGGAAGTTGCTCTCATGAGATCTGTTTGCTCGCGAGGGCCGTACCAAGGAAAGCCAACAGCAATTCCCACTTGAAAGACTGTACTAGATGCTTTAAGTACCATATGCCATTTGGCCAGCACTACTCAGAACCTCAATTCAAAAGTACACAGGAGATCTCTGACAGGGCTCTGGAGTGGTATCGGGAGTGCTGCCAAACGACAATTTTACACCAGCACTGTAAGAGCTACCATCGAGTGAAACCTTCACTCAAAAGTGGTTCTTGCTACTAGTATCCCATCTCATCCGGAAGTTGCTTAGTACTGCAAAAAGAAAAGAAAAGGAAAAGGGGTCTTCAATCCCAATACAAGACAAAACGCCCAGATCTCTTTGCAGTGACCAGTCGTTTATGGGAAACCTGGTATAACCGTTGGCAAACAAGGCAATGAGATGCTTATTGCATTGGGTCGTGCTTCCCCTGGTTTAACGCACTAAGCCCGACCACAAACTATGCCTTGGGTTCGCTCATAGCTACCCTTCCATTCACAAACGAGGTTGATTGTGCACACTCTCGATTTCTGGTCTTTCGACTTATCATTCTCCCTCTTCTCGGATTTGTCCAAGATAGCTAGTGCCAGACTCTAGTCCCCATCTATCAACAACTTAGTAAGCAGGTAAGCAATTCTTTTCAGAGCTCATTGCTTTTTTCCCATCGGATCAACACACATGGAGGGCCAAGGATGGTAGGGTTATACAAGCTAGCATATGGTATCGAGCTCCTGTCCATTGGTTCCAATCGCACCGACTGGCAGCCGCAAGCGATATCGGCGGTGCTGACTCAGCACGGGGCGGACGGAAGGGAACACGTCATTGAGTATGCATCCAAGACGCTGAGCCAGGTGCAGGCTAATTACGAAGCGTGCAAAGGCGAATGCCTGGCGGTGGTGTGGGTGATTCAGCATTTCCGACCGTATCTTTACGGCCAGAAATTCGTGTTGGTAACGGATCATCAGCCTCTGCTGCCCCTGCGCAACAACACGGACTACACGGGGACGCTGGGCAGGTGGGCGGTGCGTCTGCAAGACTATGACTTCGACATCCGCCACCGTGCCACGCGGCAGCATGGTAATGCCGATGGATTGACGCGCCTCCTGCCGCCCAGCAAGTGTCCTGCCAACGAGCGACTCATTCCGTGGAGGCCAGAAGTCGCGGCGACGAAACCGCTCTACGGGGAGCTACACGTGCTGCGTACGGACGACGCCTGAGTCCGGAATGGAGGTTTCATCGGAGATGGCAGACGCTATCTCTTTGCCCTCATCCAACTCCCTCGCTCTGTCGTCTAGCCCCAACTCGTCCTCTGAAACACATCTAAGTCCCTGTTTCTTCTGTACCTTGCCTATGATCCCGGACCAAGAAGGGTCACATCCGGGAGGGCCCAGCTTTCTTTTATGGGTACAGTGTAGTCAGTGTCATACGGTCAAATCTCACGGATAGTGCGTTAGGTACCGAAGTGAAAGGACGTGGGTCTGTCCCAACTGTAGAACGAACCAAATCCCTAACCGAGAAGCGGTATCTGGACGCTGGAACAGCCGACGGATTCGCGCCAAGTGCCCACCGGGCAGAAGTCTGGATGGACCTTCTGTTGCTACGGAGGCTGTTAGGCGACTCGCTGTCAGAACTTACCAAAGCCGAGAGGCGGAGAGTCACGGAGCGGGCGCAGGACTATCGCTGGCAGGGACCAACGTTACAAAAACGAAAAGTCGATGATGACGGAGGGTCTAGCTGGTTGACGGTTCCACACCCTCTCGCTAGGTTCGATTGGACACGAGCCGCTCATGAAGAGGATGCGGTCCATTTCGCGGTCAAGTACACGGAAAAAGCCATCGAAAAGAACAGATGGTACTGATCGGGAATTCGGGAAGATGTGAAATACATCGTCCAGAATTGTCCGGCCTGTGCGGCGGACAAGGCACCGGTACAGATGCCTCGGACGATGGTGCCCACTCGTGTAGAGCGCCCCTTCTAGAGGGTTAGCATCGATACGACGGATATCAACGTTCCAAGAGGTCCCGTCGATCAGGGAGAGCTCAATGTTCTTTTAGTGGCCGTCGATCATTTTTCGAAATGGATCGAGGCGTACCATATGACCAGCCGGAATTCGCAGGAGGTAGCCTGGTACGTAAATCGATTTTTGTGCATGCATCTAGACGTAGAAGAGATACACATGGACAATGGGTCGGAATTTCAAGGCGAAGTGGAACGTCACCTAGTCAGGGCGGACGTTAAGATTATCTACTCGCCGGGGCATTGGCCTCAAGCCAATGGCCTGGTAGAGAACGCCAACCGATTGATTAAGACCGCCCTTAGACGGAATATCATTGCGGGAGACACCCGGCCCTGGCCGGTCATTGTCGATCACATCTTGGTCGTTTATCGGGCCACCACACACGGTAGTACCGGGGTGTCCCCCTTTCAACTGAGAACCAATAGTGTCCCTCGGGTGCAATTGTCCCCCTTAGTAGGTACAGAAGTTAGAGCAACACGGGCCCAGAGCCCAGATAAGGCCCGCCACTACATGGACTTGATGGCTAGGGCCTATCCCCCGTTAGCTCGCCGTCGACAGCGGGCCGTAGATCGGACACATCAACGGCAGATCCGTGACTACGAGAATCGACACGCGTCGGTGGGACCACTGCCTCGCTATAAAATAGGGGACTTGGTGCAGGTACGAAAATTCGCGCTCTCCTCCAAAGTCCACCCACACTACATAGGCATTTACGAAGTGACGAAAGTTGGCGCACGAGGCCATCACTCTGTGAAGCTGGTCCCCAGGCACAACTCGCAGGGCCGCCCGCTGATGAGGCACGCTGCTGCCCTCCGGCCCTTTCGGCCATCGCTAGATCTCGTGCGGCCACCTGTCCTGCCCGAATCACCTTCTTCGTCCCTCTCTCGTGCTCCTTCGTCCTCGCCTCCTTCTTCCCCTTCTCTCCGATCGGCGTCGTCGGCATCCGTGGAAGACCTTGCCTAGCAGGATGAACCATCGCCAACAGGAGCATGAACTGCTCGAGCACTTCCAGCCGCCCATTTCGGACGCTCTTCTCCGGAACCAGTTCAACGACGATCGGCAGCTGCGCTTCGACATTCAGCAGGTAAACGTGCCGGCACCCAGCGTTGTTGACTTGGTGGTGTACTCGCTCCTCGCGCAGCGGGTGACGTACGCGGGTGTCTATGTGGACATATCGCCCGTGCCTGGCCAGGAATCCATGCGAGTCTTCATCGAGTTTCGAGCCATCCAGGTGGCTACGAACTTTGTGCACAGCGTCGCTACGTTCACCGGGGATTTGACCGTCTTGCCCGGGCACGATCGGGAGCCGGCGTATAGATTCTTGCGCGATTATGCCCTTCAGGTGGCGAGATCGGTGGCGAGATCGGTGGCGCGAGTGCAGGCCCGGGGCACTCATCTCTTCACTGCATACGAAGGACTTCTGCGGCGGACTCCGGAGGGAGCACTTGCATTGGTGCCGCAGCTTCCCGCACTCCTTCCTCCCGCCGAGCCCCTCAACATCCAAGCTGTCCCTCCCCCTTCTCTCTAAATGCCTCCCTTCTTCTCTTACACTACCCTCCCTTATCAACTAACGCAGCTCCCTTATTCTATGCGCAACTTTCCCGAGTACCTAGTGGAGCTCACGGACGTGGAGCAGTTGTCGCCCGCCGACGAGGACGCGTGGGAGCTGCATCGGGCACTGTATTCATCGGTGGTGCTGGGCATGTTCACATTCTTCATGGAGCACGAAGTTCATAACGTCGGCGAATTCCTCCACGTGTACTATGTGATCGCCAAGCCGAAGCCGGAGCGGAAGGAGGGAACAATGGCGCTTTATCCTTTTGGGAGGATCGGAACGAATCGCCCAGGGCTCCTACAACTCATTCACATCGAGCTGCTGTCCATTGCGCAGGTAATCGCTGCGGAAGAAGAAGACTTGCAACTCAGACTACGGACCACCTCAGCTCCGTGCAGATCGTATAACGCGGCGGTGATACCTGACTATCTGGCGCGTGAAGGGGAGTCCGTGGTGGACTTCGGGCACGAAGATAAGCCGCTGCGGCCTCCATCATCGTATCCAAAGTCGGCGGCCTTGAAGGCACCAAGAAAGAGAACCGTCCCGAAGCACCGACGAAGTCCATCGCCGGAAGCTCAGGCCAGTCGAGTGGGGCCTGTCGAGGAGGTCGTCCAGCCTGTGTCGGTGCGCGAAGTCGATCCGGTTCGCGAGAGAAGAGCCACACTCGTCATCGGGCCCCGACCGGGGGAGGACCGCCCCGCCGAAGAGCCGCGGAGATCCACAGGCCATCCGGAGTCGACACCTCATCGGCCCCGCCTCCCCGATCTCAACAGCCATGCAGCTGGGCCATCAAGCGCAGGGGGGGGATTGGGACGAGTTCCATACCCCCCCTCCTTGCAGGACCGCTCCAATTTCGCCAGCCCGCCCGGGATACCCCGGTCATTGACATTAGCAGTTCTCCCGAGCCGGACGGTCCATCAAACCGACGTGGATCACATGGTGGAACTGGCCACCCTCCGGCTTGAGGCCATCGAGGGGGCGCCACGTCCTGACCCGGCATGGGAGGCGTTCTTGCAGCCTCCATTCGATGGATGTATAGCGGCAAGATTGGTGGGCACGCTCATCTACGAGACAGGCGGGCGGCCCAATATTATGTACCATATCCCGGTCTTCGTGGCGGTTAAGCGGGAGCGGAGGCCGTACACGGAGACCCATCTGGTGCTGACGGGTTCGAGAAATCGGCCGCTGCGACGATAAATCATTCGAGCGATCGCCGATCTCGCACCACGGGTCCTCTCGCATGTGTCGGGGGCTTTCCTTTACCCCTCCTTTGTCCAGCACCACTTCAATGAAGTGGAAGTGCCGGCCAACTTGGCCGCGCTCGCGGCGTTTCTTCCTCCTCTTCCTCCCCCTCTCAATCCGGAGATTGATTACTTCCTATGATCCTCCCCACCACCACCTCTTTCTTTTTCTTCTTCTTTTCCGGATCTAAAGCTTGCGCGATGATACGCGATGTGTAAAAAAAAAAAAAAAAAGGATGCAGGGGCCGCCCGATCGAATGTATACTATGGGAGGAGGCGATAAAGGATGCAGGATGCATCCACGTAGATTAGGAGGAGGATCGGGCCAGCTGACGATGAAGAGGCCGCCCGATCATCCAAGATATGATGACATCAGCAGTCGGGAGACTGCTAATTTTTCGGAACCCCTTGCGTATCACAGATGTGATAAGCTCAGATCCGTACCGCGTGGCTTGCCGTATCCCTGAGGAAAAATCCTGCGGAAGCCCCGAAGTACAGACGCGGATAGAAAGGGGTTTTTCCTTTCTTTTTGCTTTTGTTCTCTTTTTGAAATGGCTTTTTCATTTTTGTTGGTTAATAACTCCCGCGCGGGCGAATAGCGGCCACGGTATGAAAAGCAAGAAACAGTTTCGGTTGGGACCTTTTTTCTTGAATTTTTGCGCGCACGTCTGAGCTCTGAATTCTTCGCGCGCCTCGCACCCCCGTTTCTTGCTTTGCATCCCCGCACCATTTTCCTTTCTTGCTGCACGCGTTTCCCTCCAGCTGCACCCTTCGTCTTCCCCTACGCCCAGCTTGATCCTTACCCCGTCTTTCTCCGTGAAGTGATTGGCTGCGTAGTTGGGATGCTCGGATCAATGTGGAAAGCGGGAAACCACGCACCACTTGCACAAACACCCCAATCACGTAGCCATGCGATCCCGCGGATCGAACCCTCTAACTCCCCACCTCTCTCTCCTTTCCTGCTCATCTACACCCTGCGCTGACCGCACCTCGTGCTGTTAACCCGCCGCCTCCCGCGCTATAAATTCGCGCAACCCTCTCCTCTCCCTCTCTTTCATATCGGCTGCAATGCTGCGCGAGCTATGCGCGAGAGTCCGCGGCGCCGAACAGGCTCGACGAGCCCAAGGACGGGCGGAGTGACGACGTGGGGTGGGCCCCGTGGTAGTCTCGGAGCGAAGCAGTCGGAGGGACTGAGCAGTGGTGGGGATTGGACGCCGGCCGCGGCAGGGCCTTGTGGCTATGGTGGTCGGTGGTCTTGGGAAGTTTTGAAGGCTGCGCCTGGGGGCAGCACTTAATTGAATTTTTTGTGTACAAGAAGGACTCGCTTTTATCTCCATTGCTGCTTTGTCCATGCATGTCGTGTGTGTGAAGCCCCGAGTGATGGGAGCTGGTTGTGCGCACGAGTGATGTTGAAGGTCCATGGATGATTAGAGGTCCTGTCAAGGGTTGTTGATGGCATGCATGTATGTGTGTATGTACTCGTCCGGGCAGGCATGGGGAAACTGAACTGAGGGACCGTCAACTTAGGAGTATGAGTGTGTTGATCTGGTTGTTCCCCTCCCCTCCGCGGCCTTTTCTGCGCTCTCGCGCAGTCTCGGTGTAACTCACTCTCACTCTCTCTCTCTTTCTCTCGGTTGCTTTCCTTTTTGAACTGATAGTCCTCGCTTTTGGAGCTTCTCGCCCCCGTACCGGTGACATCAACCGCTTGCGCCCGCGCGGACGGTCGATGCCCCCGCAAGGGGAGAGAGCTTAGACCTTGTCGTCTTCCCTCGACGCACCCACCTTGAAGAGAGAAGAGTTGCGACGACTGTTGTATGGATTCGGTGTTGGTTCGGATGACCGGGAACGCGGGACCTTGCCCGTGTTCATCATGTACTTCCGATCGTCTCATCTCGCTACCGACCTTCCCAATCGCAGATGACGACAGCATCTATTGCAATGTGGATGTACGGCGCGCGCTGAGGCAGACGGAGCAAGTGTGTTGGCAAGACCCGCCTCGAGCTTGTGAGATAAGGGGGAACGGGTTTGTTCTGATTGATCGGTTTGATTCCCCGACTCTAATATTGCCTTATACGGGTTTGACGGTGTTGCCCTGGTCGGTCGCTCACGCCGCGTGGCAGCCGCAGTTTGATTGTCGTTGGTGTCGCCAGGGGGACTCGTGTTCTTGGCGGCGGCTGGTCCTGGGTTACGAGGGAGCGACATGTTTCCCCGAGCTTTCCCGTAGTGCGGGGGCGCTGCCCGTGCAATTTCGAATTCAGATGCCGGCGAGTCCTCCCGCCGCTTTACCCTCCCGGAACTTTCGCGCGGACTCTGTGAGTCCGACGCCGAGGCCTGAAGGCCTCGAACCAACCACCTCCACAGCAAAGACCCGAGGGTTCGGCCACTTTGTGAGGTCGATGATGAGGCCTGAAGGCTTCGAACCCACCTCCTATCCCCCAAACCCCTGACGGCCGAAGTTTTGTCTTCCGCCGCCATGACCCTCTCCCCTTGATGCCTTTTTCCGTCCCGATGCATGACGGCAGTTCGTTTTTGCGGAAACCTTTTTGATTTTATCGTTTCGGAGCGATCCGACCCCCACGGGACTTCGCGGCGACAGTTCGACTCTGGGGAAAACCTCTGGCACGAAACGAGGGTCTCCCGTTCCGTCCGGGAGACTCAACCCTTACGGCCAAAAATCCTCGGCCACGCCCCTCCTAAAACTCTGATCGGCGACCCCGTACGAGACACCACGAGGGGGCATGAGGTTGCGTATCACAAGCCCTCCAGGGGCCTACATTGTTAGAGATTACCGGCTAACGTTCCATGATTGGACATCAGCCGACCCTGGAGTGCCACTAAGGTCGTGGACGGAATCTCCAAATCTCTTTCCCCTACACCCACTATTGATGGTGGAGTTTCTACAGGAAGATTGAGTTGGCGCGAAGAGGAGGGAAGGGCAATGAAGACTTGGGGCCAGTGCCCCCTGGTCTCCGAGGCGGTATGCCCCAAGCCGCAATAATTGGTTTAGAGTTGGCAGTTTTCGGCCGATAGGCCTCTGGTAAGGTTGTGCCTGCTCAATTAATCCCATGGGGCTCCAGGGCAATCAATGCTGGCAGTGCGTAACTCCTTTTCACCACAAACTTTCCCAGGACCCTCCTAAAGTTTTTATACATGGGACATTGGACATGTTTTCCAGCAGGTGACGATCCCCACTAATAGATGGAGCCTTCCCCCCTCGGTGCTAGTGGTGTCTGCCATCATCAGCACCACTAGCACCTTTGAGGGACGTTAATAAATAAATGCAAGGTCAAAAAAAAAAAAAAAAAGATAGATTGGTCATTTGGAAGAATTCTCATGAGGATGTCAGATGTTTAATGTGTATAAGGAGGTGCGAGCATTATCTCAGTACACGCTACTAGTTCCCTGATGAGACCCTGAAATCCATGAAGACGAAAGTGACTGCCTACCTCTGGAGAGGCGACAGCGAGAACCCCCACGCCATCAGCAGAGTCGCTTGGGACTCGGTGATCCAACCTAAAACGCAAGGGGGGCTGGGAATATTAGACCCCCTTACCCAGTCCTTGGCCCTTAGTTTGCAATGGATAGTGAGGTTGATCTTTTCCAACCCTCTGGTGTGGCGGCCCCTGGCCCTTCAGCAAATTGCCCGCCTCGCCCCCGAGGCCCCCCCAACTGTCCACCCGCTGCTATGGATAGATGATCGATATTGGAGAGTGCCACGTCGTCCGAGAGGGGGGGGGGGRGCGCAAAGACGACTTCTGGCCCCGCCTGTTAAAAACCTGGCGAAGACTTCCACTACCGGCTCGTCCCCCCCCAACCCGATGGGATGAAGTGGCAAGACAACCCCTGTTCGGCAACCGCTGGATCACTAACGGACAAAGCCAGATCTACTGCAGCTCCGATTCCCCATGGAAGGGATGGGTGAAGAACGGGATCACCCGTGTGCGTGACCTGTGGGACGAGGAGAGGAATGACTGGAAGGGTCTGGAGGAGATGGAGGAGCGTTTGAGGTACTGCCACAATACAACCTTGGCAGTGGAGGAAATCACAGAAGCACTTCCGGTGGGATGGAGGCTCATCCTGCGCAAAGGCCAGTCGTTACAAGAAGGGGATTGGGTGTCCAAGGACGGATGGACGGATAGAGTGGGGATGGTCCACTTAGTGCGAATGAGGGACGCACTAATAGAATGGTATACCGTAGGAACAGGGGGACAACTAGTGGGAAGCCGGGATCCCTTACAATGGGTACCAAAGGTGACCCTCTACAGGATCAAAACGATAGGGGAAGGGGAGAATCGGAGGGCGTTCATGCCAGAGATACCCATTCAGGACCTCCCGCTAGACCCGCTGGAGTGGATCTGGACCTATGAAGCACGCCGAAAAACGGGGCAGTCAGGCTCCACAGCGTTGGCAGATCTTACTGTCAAAGCAACATACAAAAAACTCAGAATCAAGCGCTGCCTGAAGGACGTCGTGATTGACAGATGGCATAGGCACCTTAATGTGGATAGACGGCTCCTCACACCCATTCGTTGGTTTGGCGACACCAAGGGCCGACCCGCGAAGATCACGTCCCTCCAATGGCAGATACAGCACCGATGCTTACCAACCAATGACTGACTCATTGACCATACGCACCTCGAACAGCAGGGCCGGGCCCTGTCGTGGTGCCCACGCTGCCTGTCGGGCTATCCAACAAAGAAGAGAGCGGAAACAATCGAACATATCTTTTTGCAATGCCCGTCGGCGGTTCTAACATGGAGATGGTGGGACAGAGTGTGGCAGCACATTGTTCCAGGACAGCGGTGGCCATGGGATTGGCGGGCCACTCTCTTGGGATACTACCCACCCTTCCAAGGAAACGACTTTACCTCGAACATGTTCCAATTGGGCAGACGAACGGTTTTATGGGTCTTATGGTGGCAACGCTGTGCCCTGGTGTTTGACCAGGTACATGTCGAGGGCGAGGAAAGGATCGAGCAGTTCAAACA